CTCGGATGTAATTCTTTCCCGCGTGCTTCGGTCGCATGACGGAAGGTGGCTTCAGCCTTTCTAATGTCTTATACATAATACTTTGTTCTGCAGAAGGCTACCTAATAGGTCGGTCTGAAGACACACACGTGAGCTTTATTCTCGCAAAGCTCGAGGCAACGACCAAACTTTTGCATGGAAGCATCGAGCATTCGACGGATTCATTTGAAAGGCTGGAATCATCCAGATATCTATCGATAGCCTCTGGATGGACGTTGCTACTTGATGAAAAAATACGTCGACCGTCAAAATGAAACTCTTCGTAGGTCATATTTGACTACGCTATTACTTATTGATATTGTAATTTTGTTATTTTTTTAAGAATAATTTCTTATAGAATCCTCTCTGCTCTGAAAAGTAAGAAGTTTTAACATAGCCATATTCGTCTTTTGAAGTAAATGCTTAATTTTCCTTATGTATTACATTCCCAAAGCCTTTGGTTATAACTGGAAAGAAATATTATTAGAAGCTAAGTTACGGTGGCTTTCAAACTCGACTGTACAATATGTAATAAAACACAAACTGTAATAAGAAATATTTATATCAAAATTGAGACCGAAAACAAATATATGTATTAATGCAAACATTCTTCAATCTCGCAAAATAAAAAAATCTTTAAATAAGTGAATAATATATAGTAAATAAAACATTTTCTAATACACATACAATTCAGCGTGAAATAGACGTACATTGGTAATTTGTCTTCAGAAAAACGAAAAATAATATTTTGTGAAATTATCTTTAACACGTATAAGTCTAGTTTGAATTCACCTTACTAGCTTCCTTGAAAACTGAGGTGTGATAATCTTCAATTCTTAAACGAGGAGCATCTTGCCCACTTCTTTATTTGAAAGTTTATGCCTCCGCACATTTTCCAATTCCCACCACAAGTTCTCATTTGGATTGAGATTGGAGCATTGTGGCTGCATGTCAAGGCGTTTTGATACTAGCAACCACAATTTCACAATATGCGCTGTGTGGATAGCTCATAGCTGGTTGGATTGCTCAGAGTAATACGCTGGCCCCACTCCAAGATTTGCTACACTGTTTGACATCCTTTTTATTTTTCCGTTTCCGTATATCTCAAAAACGACACCAATTATTTTCTTTAAGTTTATATATTCTTTGATTTATTAAATCTAGAAGTTTTAAGTTTTATACATTTATAAATATATCATATGCCGGTTTTAACCGTTAACTCTGAATTTCTGAAAATTTCAAATATATGTAATTTTTTCAGCGTCTTCCTAAAACTACAAAATTGAAGTTTTTTCCTTCAAATTAAATTTGTCAAACAACCGCTCTAAATGTTTTCTTTAAATTTCTTGAAGGAATATAGTAACATTTACTTATAAAACTGGCTTTTTCCACAATTAACGCTGATCAGCACAAAGGCTGATCCATTTTCTACAATTAACACTGAATTTTCGAAAATTAAGAATGTATTAATATTTTTAGAAGTCTTCTTACAACTTCAAAATTAAAAAAGGAAATTTTTCTTTCAAATAATATTAGATGTCCTAAATTAATAATTAAATTAATTCATTTAAACTCGTCAGTTTGCTTCGTTCCCTTTTTTTTGTTCGAATATAACGAATATAATTTTCTTGACTCTTCCCACGACGATACTGAACACGCTGCACTGAACACGCTGCACTGAACACGCTGCACTGAACACGCTGCACTGAACACGCTGGCACTGACACTGCTGCACTGAACAGCGCCGTTGCACTGAACCACGCTGACACTTGAAGACGCTAGCACCTGATGACGCTGCACTGAAACACGCTGCCACTGAACATCGCTGCACTGAACCGGCTCTTGCACTGAACACGCTGCACTGCAATCACGCTGCACTGACACGCCTGCCATCTCTGAACACGGCTGCACTGAAACAGCGCTGCACTGAAGCAGCTGACTGAACCACGCTGCCTGAACACGGCTGCACTGAACACGCTGCAGCTGAACACGGCTGCATGAACACGCTGCACTGAACACTGCTGGCATAGCTGAACACGCTGCAGCTGACCACGCTCTGCACTGAACTCATGCGCACTGAACACGCTGCACACTGAACCGCTGCACGATGAACACGCTGCACTGGGAACTTACGTTGCGCAGCTGAACGACGCTGCTATCTGAACACGCTGGCACGTGAAACGCTTGCCTGTAAGCAGCGCTGTCAGCTGAACACGCTCACTGAACACACGCTTGCAGCTAACACGCTGCACTGAACACGCTGCAGCTGGAACAGCTGGCCCCTGAACGCACGCTGCACGCAACGTGGCCTCCGCAACTACGCGTGCACTGAACACGCTGCTACTGGACACGCTGCACTGAACACGCATGCAACTGGAACACGGCTCGCACTGAAACGCACGCTGCACTGACACGTCTGCACTGAACACGCTGCACTGAACACGCGCTGCACTGAACACTGGCTGGCACTGATACACGCTGCATCTGAACACACTGCACTGAACACGCTGCAATCGCTGAACACCTGCACTGAACAACGCTGCACTGAACACGCGCTGCGATGAAACCGCTGGCAACTGAACACGCTCACTGAACACGGCTTGCCCTGAACCGCTGCACTGCATCACGCTGTGCAAGCTGAACGCGCTGCAATGATACACGCTGGCACTTGAACGCTGCAGCTGAACACGCTGCACTGACCACGACTCGCACTCTGCAACACGCTGCTACTGACAGCACGCTGCACTGGGACACGCTGCACGTGAACACGCATGCACTGAACACGTGGGCACTGAACACGCTGCACTGAACACTGCTAGCAACTGAAACACGCTGCAACCCTGAACACGCTGGACACGAACACGCTGCAACTGAACACGCTGCACTGCAATCAGCTGCACTGAACACGCTGCACTGAACAACGCTGCACTGAACACCGCTGCACTGAAAGCACGCTGGCACTGAACACGCTGCACTGAGACACGCTGCACTTTGAACACGCTGCACTTGAAACGCTGCACTGAAACACGCTCTGCTCTGAACACGCTGCACTGAACACGTGCGATGAACACGCTGCACTGGAACACGCTGCACTGATACACGCTGTCACTGAACACCCTGCTGCCTCACTGAACCGCTAAGCACTGAACACGCTTGCACTGAAGCACGCTGCCACTGAACAGCTGCACTGAAGCACGCTGCACTGAACACGCGCACTGAACACGCTGGCAGCTGAACACGGCTGCACTGAAAACACGTCTCTGCCACTGAACACGCTCTGCACTGAACACGCTGCAGCTGAACACGCTGCACTAGAAACACGCTGGCCCAATGAAGCACGGCTGCACTGATCACGCTGCGACGAACACGCTGCACCCTCAGAACACGCTGCACTGAACACGCCTTGCACTGAACACGCTGCACTGACACGTCTGCACTGCAACACGGCTGGCAAGCGTGAACACGCTGCAGCTGACACGCTGCACTGAACACGCTGGCACTGACACGCTGCACTGAACGACGCTGCTGGACACCGCTTGCGCACTGAACACGCTGCACTGAACACGCCTGCCACTGTAAGCACGCTGCACTGAACCACGCTAGCACTGAACACTTGTCTGGCACTGAAAACACGGCTGGGCATCTGAACACGCTGCACTGAACACGTGCACTGAACACGGTCACTGCACACTGGAACACGCTGCGCACCTGAACACTGCACCTGAAGCACGCTTGCACTGGAACACGCTGCACTGAACAACGCTTGTCACTGAACAGCGCCTGGCACTTGAACACGCTGCACTGAAGCAGCTGCACTGAAACGCTGCACTGAACACGCGGCACTGAACACGCTGGGCACTGAAACCACGCTGCACTGACACGCTGCACTGAACACGCTGCACTGAACCACGGCTGCACTGAAGCACGCTGCAGCTGACTACGCTGGCACTGAACACGCTGACTGACACGGCTGCCACTGAACACGCTCGTGGCCACTGAACACGCTGCACTGAACAACGCTGCACTGAACACGCCTGCACTGACACGCTGCACTGAACACGCTGCACTGAACACCGCTGCACTGAACACGCGCAATCTGAACACGCTGCACTGAAACGCTGCACTGAAACACGCAGCCTACACGTGCATGAACACGCTGCACTGGAACACTTGACGCAGCGCACTTGACACGCTGCACTGAAACCACGCTGTCTACTGAACGACGGCTGCACTGGACCACGCTTGACACTGGAACACGGCTGCAACTGGACACGCTGCACTCGAAGCACGCTTGCACTGAACACGCTGCACTGGAACACGCTGCACTCTGAACACTGTCTGCACTGCTAACGCTGGCACTGAACACGCTGGCACTGAACACGGCAACTCTGGAAACACGCTGCACTGAACACGTCTGCACTGACACGTGCTGCACTGAACAGCTTGCACTGACACGCTGCACTGAACACGCGTGCACTGACACGCTGCAGCTGTAACCACGTCTGCACTGAACACGCGCACTGAAAACACGCTGCACCTGAACACGTTTTGTTGGGGTTGCCTCACTGAACACCGGCTGCACACTGAACACGCTGGCACTGAACACCTGCACTGAAACACCTGCTGCACTGAACAGCGCGTGCACTGAACACGAGTGCACTGAACACGCTGCAGCTGAACACGCTGCACTGAACACGCTTGCACTGAC